GCTGGGTTTTCTTGCTAGTTATCCCAAATACACATAAGATAAATAATATTTATCTTATGTGTATTTGGGATAACTAGCAACTCACTGATACCCCTCTGTACTTCTAGAACCAAATAGTAAGTCTGAAAATTTGGAGCTGCTCTCAGAGAGATCAGACTGCACACAGGTCCTGCCTGCCTGCCCCACACGTGGCTGCAGCTGGTGCTGGTGCCTGGCTGCCAGGTCAGGGCCAAAGAGGGCTCTTGCCCCTTGTTCAGGGCCAAAAACCCACAGAAACAGTGCTCATCAGCATGTGCTGGCCTTCAGTTGCTTTACTGTGCAGGTTGGTGCAAAGCTCCAAAGGTGTGAGCTGCAGTGCCAGGGTATGAGCTGTGCTGCAGGAGGAAGCGGACTTGGTACCCTGGTGCTGTGCCAGCTGTGGGTGTAGCAGCTTCCTGCACAGGGCTGGAGGGGAGGCTGAATGCAGTGCTGTGCTGGGTCATCTGCGTCCCCTGTGAGTCACAGCTCAGTCATACACTTCTCAGCCTGGTCAAACCAGACACTCCTGGCTGGCACATGAAACCCTGGTGCCACCTTCCCTCCCTTCCCCCCTCACATCCTAGGTTTTCAGGGGCTTTTTTGTATGAAGGAGACTTGGTTGTGCCCACCTGCCACCTAACTTGATTTCTTTTGATTGCACTATAAAAAGAAGAGTTCCCCCTGCTTATCACGTTTGTACTTTGGTTATAGTGTCAGGCATAGGCAGATTAATTGGTTGTAGCTTTAGCAGAGCTGTCAGGGTATTTAACCCATTGAAGAAAAATTACCTAGGCTGGCGATAAACAGGCTTTAAATGTAGAGCAATTACTCAGTGCTAACAAAGCACCATGACTGCACACTTTATCCAAATGCAAAAAGCAAACTCTTATCAGTGGTTCTGTTCAAAGGAGGACACTAAAAGATAACCTTTGTTTGTGGAAATACTTACCTGATAAGATCATCCTAGAAGGAACAGATGAAATTTCTGTCTTGCCTGAAGGTTGTACTTCAGATTACAAAGTATCAAGCAAAAAAAGAATAATAATCAGAAAATGAGAATGCTCATTTCTTTCTTTTAGTTGGATCAAAAGTCCTGGATGATGTGTTTCTTTTCTGCTTGCATTGATTGTGTTTATATCTAGGACATAACAATAAAGCAATTTAGAGACCTTTAACCAATAGGACTTTGGTTTTCATTGTTCACAGTAGCTGGCAAAGCTAGAGGCTGGTTAGCATTGAACTTGGTTTGTTCATTGCAGGTTAAACCCTGACTGGTAACCAGGGTTTACAGCACAGCAGTCCTGTGACTCACCAGTGGTGAAACTGGTCCGGGAGTTTCCAAGCTGGGAAAGCTTAGGAGGTACTTTTAGTGGGACATGCACTTGATGCCATTTGCCTCTCAGGGGTCACAGGTCACATTCTGAAGCTGCAGAGGTTTGAGTTTTTATTGCGATGAGTCTTAACGTCCTGCGTTTGACCTCTGTCTAATTCACTCCAATTTCTTTTCTGTGTTAAGATTTGACTGAAAGGCTACTGTTTATTGAATGCTCTTAATTGACCAATTTAAAAAAAAGAAATCTAGTTGTATCACATCAATCAAAATATTTACAAAATTGACATATTTTATTTTCCTTTCAAATGACTAATTGGAGATTTCCCATTTGGTGTTTATAAAAGACCTTTATATTAAGGGAAAAGTAATATTCAGGCACATTTTGGTCTTTTTGTATCCAGGCTTTGTATTAATCTAAGCATGCTCAAAGCTCCTGATGCAACCTTGTGCAGAAACTAAACACATATTTTCTAGTGAAGTGTTCCTAAGTGACATTATCTTAGCCTGCTCTGGGTCTCTGTGAGATTTTTGGACATGAGTGTGATTTTTGGGTTGATCTGGATGCCTTGTAGTACTTTGTCTGAATGCTAATGCTGTGGTGTGGTGTTTGTGTGAGCCCCATCTCGCCTGCTGTTCTCTACTGACTTTGGTTTCCTTTGAACAATTTCAGTTGTAGGTGACAGAAGGACAGAGATAGCATAGACACTACTTTCCTACTGGCTGCATGGGAGGAGGCCTCTGTGTTGTGAAGCAAGAGGCTCTGAATTAGTCCTGTGTGCCTCCTACTGAAAAGGACTTTATATCAGCCATGACCTCATTAGGCTCAGAGAACCTGTGCAGGCAAGCAAATGGTTGGAAACTGGCCATCAGTCATTTTCTTGCTCACTGGAGGACTTGGTCCGTATGGATTTCCTGCCCCAACTGACTTGCTTGCATTTTATGAGGTTTTTTTGGAAAATGTGTTTGGGTTTGGTATTTGGGTGCCTGTTATACTCCTGTTCCCCACCCACTAGAGGCTGACAAAAACTGGCAATGAACAGATGCATTTTTGGGAGGTGGCTTCACCACTTACATTCAGGTAGCTGTTGAGCTTTGGGTTTTTCTTTCCAAACAGGACTAATAGGAATTTTCTGGAGAAGATCTTAATTGCAAACATGCAGCACAGCAAGACCTGTTTTTGTAGAGTTGCTCAGCTTGCCACAGGTGTGGTGAAAGCACTTCATTTATATGAGTGGGGGCTGAGCTGCCTCCTTCTAGGCAATTTCAGGGTTTCACAGTCATGGGGCTCTGGTTTACACCTTTGGTGGTGTGAGCAAATGTTGAGGGAGTGTTTTGCACCTCTGCATTTACTGGGACTCATGCAGGGACTGGCCTGGTTACTTCATGACTTCTGTAAATGCGGTTGCATTCGTGAGCTTTGGCTGCCTGGCTGTTCCTCTGTGGCCTACCACAGAGAACCTCAATTTTAATTGTTCAAGTCAATAGAAGGACTGCACATCTGGAGCTGCACCAGCCTTACTTACTGAGGGTTTTTTTTATGCCTCAGTTCCTGTAGCAATGGAAATAATCATGCCCCTCCCTTAAGTGCTGAGTATACGTGTCTGTATATAAAAATATATATGTATGTATATAAATGTTTTGCATAAAACTAGGAGGGTAATGCCTACTTTTTTTTTCCTTTAAGGAGATTTGGAAGGGAGGAGGTGTGTGTTGGATACCAGCTCTGCAGAGCTATTGCTGCAAATCAGCATGTTTTAAGGAAGGGGACAGGTATAGGGATTTGTCACCAGGGCCTATGCTGGCTGAGACCTGTCTGACAAAGGAATTTGGTTGATCATGAGTTTGCTTTTCACCTGCACACTTTTTACTAGGAGTTAGAACTTGCAGGAAATAAGGAAATAAAATGCCATCCTTGAAGGCAGGGGAGTGTGATGTTAGTCATCAATACTAGTCATTTACAGTTTTTGCATTATGGGCTATTCATGCTATTTCCTGAACAAGAAATGTTTCATTAGCTAATTGTTTTCCTTAGCAGAGCTGTAGGGGCATCAGCAGATAATACAGTTTCTGGCAAAGCTGTTTAGTGCCTCCCTATATGATAGGGGAGAATGATGGTAAATTTTAATGAAAGAAATTCTATCTGAGCTGAAATAATAGTAATGCTTCAAAATGTTGTTCAGAGTTGACTCCTTATCTTTTCATAGGTCTGCTATGTGCAGATGAGCAATTCCAATCTTGCATGTTGTCTGATGTCTGGATTTTGACTGTTTTGCAGTGGTCTTTGACATTGTACCAAATGTATTCTGAAGGTGTGACGCAGCAGAGCCACTGCAGCACAGTCCCCTGAAAAAGGAGCAGGGACTACAGAACTGAAAGGGAAAAATGGCAATGCCCTAGTGAGATTGTAGCTGAGAATTGGGTGGGTAGAGTGGATATGCTTGGTGAGTGAGAAGGAGCAATGGCACAGTCCTGCTCCAGCAGAGTGCCATAAGATGGGTGGTCTGCAGTTGTCAGTGCCTTGCTTGCAAAACTCTTCTCCTCCTACCCCAATAAATCTTACATTTTTTTCAAAAGTACAAAAGGAATTATGTATTATTTGTACTGCCTACCTTAGCAGCAGTGAGAGGTCCTAGCCCCTTCAGTACATACAGCTTTGAAAAGTATCAGTATAGGGCTGTTGTTTAAGACAACTAATGGAATATCAGAAACAGAAGTATTTTCATTATTTCTTAGAATCAGTGTTCTGTGGAAAGATTGCATTTGGTAGTCTTATTCTCTTGTTCTGTGGTTTAGCTGGTTATGTCGTTGCAGCTTCTCTGGGCATGCACACAAAGATAGGTGTTCTTTTTCTGTTCCTGACATCTTTATAGCAGATACATATGTTTTCATAAACGTTTTTAGTTAATATCCACTTAAGTTCCAATGTCCTTTTTTTCCCTCTGTGATGTTATATTAACACAGTTTTTCATTTTACTGCCTATCAGTCTAATTAGGGCATCTCTTCTCTGTTCAGTTTTCTGTAATTTAGCTTTACTTATCAGGTCTGTCAGTACATAAGCAATGGCCTTTCCTGAAACCCTGGCAAATGTAAGGTAAACATTGCTTTCTTAAGTAAGTCATTACAAAGTCTATACCAATACATATATTTCTGTATGGAAAGGGGAATTGATATCGGTCAACTCGATTTTGGAAGAACAGTATCTGCATGGCCTTTTTCCCCAATATAATTATTTCAGTTACAAAACCATAAATCACTTGTGAAACTTAGTGTTATAGCTTTGTAGCAGACCAGAATCTTGTCTCAGACCATAAGAAATACTTCTAATGTGTTGTTTGCATTATTTATTTTTATTGCTGCATTAATTCTTTAAAGACTCATCATCTGTGGTCAGAAAGAGCTTTCAGTGGCTGTTAATGTCTCAGTATATGACCTGACAATATGAGAATGACACTGGCACAGAAATTACTCTTACTGTGGGACTATTGTGCCCATGCAGAAAACTGTAAAAACAGGTGGTGCTTAGAGGGTGGTACAATTCTAGTTTCTTTCTCTCTAACATCAGTGTCCTGTTGTTATTTGGTAGGGAGAGGAAGCTTAGGAGTTTCCCAGTCAAAAAGGTGTGACACATACCCATTTGTCTCTTTTCAGGATCTTTCCCAGAGAGTATCTTCTTCAACAAATCCATCTTTATTCTCTGGCAGATCTTCAGCAGGTGAGTGTCTTTGATTTATTCTACATGTTACACATGGAGCCTGTTCTCACCTTCAGAGCTAATTGTACATTTCCCTTCTAAGGGAATACCTGTACTTCCAAGCTGTGTCTGTGGTTTGTAGTTTAGTATAAAAATGAGTTAACAGTGTCATTGATTAGGGATGAAAGTCTAGAGCATCAATGTTCAAATTGGGATGGAAAGAGACTGTGAAAGAAAACTGTAGTCTGTAAAAGAGAATTTTGCTATGAGAAATTTTTCATCTGCTCAATAAATTCTCATCAGTCTCAGCCCATAGGTGAGAAGCAGTACTTATTTCTTTGCTTGAAAGAGTAGTTTTTTGGGAATTTTGAAGTTGGTAAAGACCCTAATGCAACATGATTATTTACAAATCTGCTGAGCATTGCCATGAGCAGGAGGCAGGGTGGAACCTAACCCCACCCCCCCTTCCCCCCAAACCTCAGCCAGCCTACTACACAGAGCTGAGCCGTGCAGTGTTACCATGACAGATGTGACCATGGGAGAGGTCATGTGCCAGCAGAATTTGTCTTTGAGTTGTTATTGATTCAGCTAAGCAAGAACCTTGAAGTACATTTACCTGAAAAGCAGAATTTTATTATGTAACAGATTAGACAAGAAGAATTTGGAAAAAAGAGCTGTAAAAGGGAGACTAGGGAATCTAAGGTGAGTGTGCTGCAATGCTCAGATGCACAATGGAGGAAGCCATGAGGTGAGATGTGCTGGCTGACCTGGGCACCTCTGTGTTCACACTAATGCTGCTGCCAGTGGTGTGTAAAGCAGTATTTTAAGCTTCTTTCACCTGTTTCCCTTCTCTAGTGGTGTCTTTTCTGCAGGATAAGAGTAGCATAGTCAGCTCTGGATGTTCAGCTGACACATTAGGTTGAGGTAGTTCAGATGCCCCTCAGAGCTGGAGACTACAGAAAAACAGGAAACGTGGCTTTTGTTGGCTGGTAAAATCACAGGCTAGAAATTATTCCATATATAAAATAAAAAGGCCGGTTGCCTGAGGTCTGAAACTGCTTCCACATCTTTTCAGCATGTTCTGCTATCTCATCTTTAATAATCAAGCCATGAAAAAGCGAGCTACTTAACTCCAGAGCTGCAGTCTCCCTGGTGGGCCTGTCTATTAGCCCCCAGTGCTTTGTAAGCTGCTTAATCAGTTCCTAACATTGGTAGTAGATATTTTAGAAGCAAGCAGCAGCTTATCAAGCACCCTGGGGGAGAGAAGGAGGGTAGAAGTCATAATTCATGCATTGATTTAGCACTTTCCTGTTACATGTTTCTTTGTGTTTGTGTTTGCAAGACACCTTCTCTTCCCCTGAGGCGCCCAGTCCCAAACTTATCATATTTAGAGGCAATATAATTTGATTATCATTTCTGCTGGGGTGGGTTAAATTACATTTGCCTTTTAATCTAGCTATATTCTTGTTGTGAGCATGGAGAGGGTTTTCCACATTTCAGAGGCTCCAAGTTTGAAATCTGATTGCCTGTTTTTGTCAAAGTGGATCCAGAGTGGAAAAGAGGAGGGCCCAATGAGAGTATGAATCCAATGGTCAGATAAATACTAATACCCTTAACAGCTCCTCACTCCTGAGTGCTTTGCCCCTTATTGCTGCTTTCTCCCAGTTGCTCATCATTTTCCACTGACCTGCAGTTTGGATAGTTTTAATCCTGAAAGTTTTTCCTCCTTTTGATTCCTCTGCTGCCTATTTCCTCATATCCATGGACTGCTTTTGCACTGTTTCCTGCTGTCATGTAGATTGCATGTGTTTGGGGAATTAACTAAAAGGTTTATTAAAGATTAATGGAAAGATAAGGCATGGTGAGTGAATTAGAAAAGCAGAGAGGGGTAATCTGCAGATATAAGCAACCTTTACCCTGGTTAGTCCCAGCTCAATTCTGATTTGCTTCCTAGCCAAGTTCCCTTTAAAGATCCTAGAAAACATGGTTGTTTCCTACCTAGCAGCTGAGTTTCAAAAATGGGGTTTGAGGGTCTGTTCTTAGGTCAAAAAGGTTGAAATGCCTGTTTGCCAGTAGATGAAGCAGTTTATAATACTACTCTAAAATAAAATCCAATATCGATCTCTTGCCAAGCCTAACAGGGCCTAGATATTATGAGTCTAGCAGAGTATATAGTATATACTTGGGCTGTCTGGTGGTCTGGGGATGGTTCTCACTTGGATCCATTTGGATCAGGCTCTAGTGGGGAAGACTTTGCTGTGAGGTTAAAAGCAGAGTGAAAAAAGAAAATAGGAACAAAGTGGCCTTACTTTTGGAAATTTCCCAAATGCTGGTGAGGCAGTGGTTTTTGCTAGTACTTGTATTGTTAACAAATGCTGGTGGTGCAGGTGTGAGTAACCAAAGAGGCAGCAAGTGACAGACTTTATTTGTATGTACACACAAATGCATACCTGGACTCTAGAGGGTTTTGCTGCAGCCCAAGGCCCCAGGGACTACATTAAAGTTTACAGAAGTCTGTGGCATTCCTGTGGGTAGATGTTTTTAGAATTCTGGTGTCAGCAGACAAGATAACTGATGAGGTGTGTTCAGACTGAATAGGCAGAAACACCAAGTGGGATTTAACAGGCACAAACCCCACAGCTTGCCTGCTCTGCCTCATTGTCTGCACTTGTTTGTCTTTGCAGCCTCGTGTCATCTGCCCTGCATCACCCATAACCCTCTGCATCTCTGTTAGGCAGTTTATCCAGGGTTATTCCAGTCAATTAAAGCTTTCAAGAGGGAGATCTCCACTTGCTAGGAAGCAAGTATTCACTCCTGAATTTGCTGGTGTTAGCAGACATAGTATCCTGGAAAAATGGATTTGTTTTATAGACCGTGATGTGCTGTTACAGTCCAGGATATTTTCATCCTAAACCTGCTGGAGGTGTGAACTCTTCTCTGCTGACATTACTGATAATTCTGTGCATATATAGACAGAGTTCATGCAACAGGAGTTAAAAACTGTCAATTTAGATTTTACAGATGTGGTTATGGGGCTGCTTGTATTGAAACTGACAATTTTTACACTGTTAAATATTGGTTTGGACCAAAGTTGACTCAGACAAGAGTCTTGTATTTCTTTTGAAAAGTAATTCTGGCTCCTTACACTACATAATATGTTGATGTGAGCTTTTGAAGTAAAAGACTAGAAGGCACTATTGTAGTGATTTCCAAATTCAGATGGTTCATCCACAGAGAATTAACTAATGTCTTGCCTTTTTTTTTACTGTTAAATAGCAAGATACACAAGTGCACAAAAATTATTGCAGTGATGCACAGGAAGTTCTACCTGAACATGAGGAAGAACTTTACTGTGCAGTGACCATGCATGGGAACCTGTTGCCATGGGTTGTGGAGTTTTCCCTCTCTGCTGGAGATATTCAAGAACTGCCTGCACACAGTTCTGTGCCACATGCTCTTGGATAACCCTGCTTGAGCAGGGAGGTTGGTCCAGATGACCCACTGTGGGCCCTTTTAGCCTTACACATTCTGTCATTCTCTGATGGTCTTTCCTGTTGAAGCTCTCTTAATCGTGCCAATTATTTCATCCTGGTTATACCAAGTCTAAAAGATACAGTAAAATGAAAAGGATCCACATAAGGGCAAAAATTACTGGATGCCAAGGATGGAAATTGTGAGCAAGATGGGAGATTTAAAAAGATGATAATTTGAAGACTTGTTTATAAAGGAACACTCAGGGAAAAATAATGAAGTGACAAAATATGGGAATTTAAAATGATGAGTTGAATTACTTTAAATCACTGTGTAAATACTGTTATTCATAATATAAGTGGCTTTCATTTGGTTTATCTCCATTTACTTTGGAAGCAAAGTGACATAAATTGCATTAAGGCCATTTTCATTCTGAATGTGTATGTCCATACAGGGATTTAATGTAGTATAATTTGTCCATTTTAACATAGTAGATAAACTAATCTGTTGAAATTTAGTTAAAACATTATTGACTTCAGATCAACTTTCCTGACTACCTGTAGATGACCCTACAAATAATGTGAAGAACAGTGCAGAGAAAGGATGAACAGGAGAGCCCTGTTCTCACAATAATATGGCACAGATCACACAGTGAGTATGAGAAATGCATAAAAATCCAATGGAATCCTTAATGGAAATGCTTCTCTGCAAAACACAATGAGTATGAGGAGTTTAATGCCACAATAGTGTCACTGAGGCCAGAAATGTATCATCTTTGAGAGGATTAAGTATCCATAATGAGAATATCCACAGTTACAGTACATAAAATAAAGGGATTATAGGATTTCAGACTAGACATACTATACTGAAGGGATTAGGAAGATGTCTCCCCTACTGACAGACAGATCAATGATTTCATCTTGCTCTGACGTTTGGAACACTGATTACACCCAGCACTGATTACAGCTCCCGGGAGCATTTTGGGCTTGCTGCACTGTTGGTCTCACAGAAGCATTCCTCACTGGGAAATCTTAATCTTTCTGGTTGAGCTTTTCTGCATATAAGGCTCCCTAACTAGAGTGTGGGGAATAAAATGAGCTTCAATGAAACGAAAGTTCTACCTGATTTGAGCCTAATATATTGTTAGAGTAGGATTAGAATGTCTTAGAAGAGCAAAGAAATCATTAGATCTCCTTCACTCCTCCAGGCTTTTAACCCACGCTGTACTTTCATTGCACCTCCTAGACAGAAGTGAAGGAGTAGATCAGAGATGCTCTTTCTACTATTTTTATATGTGCAAAGTTTTAGGCTGATTTAGACAAGTTGTTTCATCAGTCCCAACAATAGCAAAGTATGCAAGATGTGGACTTCTTTGCCTTTTACTTGCTGTTTTTTTCAGAAGTAAAACTTCTTTTCTGGTAACTCAGTCCTCGTACCATAGCTGGTAAATGCTTAGTATAGATAGGTAACATACAGACTGATGAATTCCAAGCCCATCAGTGTTGATGTCCCTGCCCAGCAGTTCCTTTTTATTGATACAGTAAAAGGAT